TAAGACAGTCAAATTAACTATTTGGTAAGTTTGACAACTACCTTGTAATGGCCAACTAGCTTGTTTTGCTACTCAATGCAACAAAGAGTTAATAGGCATCACACCACACAGTATACAGGGTTTCTTAATCACCCAGACCACCACCAAAAGTACTGTCAACAAATATATCCTGATTTCTAGTGCTTTCTGGTACGCAGAGTGCATTATTCTCTCCCATAAAGAAACACCCAGTTGAAGCATGCCTTCTGATATCATAATCTAAACCTCTAGCTTTCCAAACTGTGACTTCATCACCACTCCTTGCATATTATTAACAAGACATGTTTAAAGTTTAACTTGGTATCTCATTTGCAATGGTATGCTGAGCATTTGGCACCTTATAAACATTTATTGCGGTCAGCCTCCTCAGGGGTATTAATATTTATTTATTGTTATCTTACTTTCTCCCTTTTGTGGTCTTTGTACCTTGTTTATAGTTTATAGCCTAAACTTTAGGTCATCTCTCATGCTTGTTACAGAGCAGATGACTGTTCATTTTGGTGAAACCAATCATACAACTTGTGTTCTCTATTTCTTCTTTTCAACTCATAACAAAAATTGCTACTGTAATGTCTTGTATTTCTTTTTCTTTGTTATAAGGTGTCGGTATGGAAACTGCCAATCAGTGTGGAGGGAGGAAGAAAACATCAGCTGTCAAGATATAGATGTAGTGAAAAATAAAAATTTAGAGGCTGTTACAGTGGAAGAGCTGCAGGCATAACCCAGATGCATTGTGCAGCATCCAGGAGTAGGAGATGCTTCAATAGAAGGAACTGTGAACTTCTTTAATATTAGCTTAAACTGAGAATCCAGCTACTATAGCACAGAATTCTTTGTAGTTGTCAACTGAGAAATGATTGCTGCAAATGTGACCTGAACCTTGCGTCCAACTACTAGGGTCTCTTTTCGTGCAAACAAATGCAGTCCACTGTGACTGCACAATTTCATCAGCTGGAAACTGGTGAGGGCTAACTCCGACTGTATTTGTTTTGTTACAAAACATCACTACACAGCGCTTCCCTAGTTTTCATATTCTCCTCTTGAAAGACTGATGTTTCCATTCATATTATAAAAGTCAATGTGACTAAGAGTGAAGCAGTTTTAAGTAACTTGAGAGTGAAATATACATTTTTTTAAAAGTTCAGGTCGTAATTTGAGAAACATTACGTGCTTGTTATTTCTGTAGCATGATTGTGTCACTTACTTGGTTTATCTTTTTAAACTAAGACACTGCGTGTTATATTGCTAGGCTGTCTCATAACATATGCTTTAGTAGTTTCCTCTCTCAGGCTGTTTAATTTATGATAAATGAGCAAGAGTAATTTACTGTTCACTTAGCTGACAGTGGTACATTTAATTCAACACGTTTTCCGGTTGCAAATGAGAAACAACACTTTCGTGTGGTGCTCAAGTTATTACTTTCAGGTCTTAACATGACCCTTTTCACTACCTTACACATGTTTGACGTATCATATCACATGACCTGGATCAGAATGTTTTTAAAATAGCTGTCAATTAAGCATCAATAAAATTTGTTACAAAATTTAGTATGCACAATATATTGTTTAATTGCCCATTTAGGAATTTAACCCTTCGGGGAATATATTGAGGCAAAGAAAAATGCAGAAAAATTTCCTGTCCGTCACCCTTTAAAATGAAACAAACACGCTATCTCTTCTTTATGCTGTCTCTTGTACTAATACCCCAGCAAGGTCAATGAAATCTTGACACAAGCCTTAAAATGGCGTCTTCTCTTCCCTACGAGACAGATGCCATATTTGTGGAGGGTGTAGCCTCACAAGAGGGAGCACCTTAATATGTCTTTTGGAAAAATGGAATCAATTACAAGATCATGGATAAACTGATATGACTTACCTTCATATGTGGGCTTTGCATTTCATTGTTTCTGTCGCTTTCAACATACACACTTGAAACACTGAAGTCCAGACAAACACTGAAGACTGGAATGAAATTGATGCAATGCCCAACATTTGTCACCCACAGTACATACTGGTGTTTACATGGGCTACTGTCTTTACCAACCATGCAGCTACATATTCCAAAGGTAATGTTCACTGTATAACTGAAAAAGAACCAATGGGACACCCCATCAAACATCTCAATACAACTGTAATGTTTTTTAATCAAAAATGGATGTAAAAAACAAGAAACCATAGCAAGATGGTCACATGAACCTCGCTCTGGTTGACCCATTAAGACAATGATGGAAATATTCCTAACAGCATAGTAAGAGCTTGCACAGGCTTTCTCTATTGTCTAATATTACTCACAAAAAAAGTCAATACCCTACCATGGAGGGAATTTACTGAAGGTACCCCACCCCTCTGAAATTGGTCAATATATTATTTGCATTTTGGTCTTTCTTATGCCAAATCAACACCCCTGAAATGCAGCGTAAACGCCTTGATGAACTGCAAGGACATAGCCCGGATTTTGCAGAGGGGGGCCACTATGTGACAAATGTTCCTATATAGTTAGGAACTTTTCCATAAGTTGTGCATGTTATGTTCCCAAGTTGTATTTTCTCTGCAAAAAAGGAGCCTGGAAACCCTGTCCCCTTTCCTTTCCTTTCCTTTCAGGACCAAAGCATTTCAAAGCCCTATTTAAGTGAACGCTTCTACTCATCACTGGTGATCAAGATACCAAGTGATAGTGCTCCAGATACACTGTGTGTGCACATTACAAACACTTTAAGATTGTGCTCTTCTGTATTAGAAGTAGCATAAACAAAACCAACTCACCAGACTGCTGTACTTCCTGGTATACACAATAGCAATTACAAGAGGCATTTCCTCCTCTTTGGCATAACTGCCTAACTGGCCTTTTTCCTGTGAAATTCCAATTCATCTTGACATTATTTTTTTAGTTTTTTCAAGCACTGTTGCCTTGCAGTTATTGGTGCATGCCCACTTTCAAACAGCTTCAAAACCCTCCTGTGCACTCAGGAGAAAGTTCATTGAAACTAGAAGCTTCAAGAGTTTTCAAGTGAGTTGCTTTGTTCCCACTCTATGTCCACAGAGCAACATCCCTTGTTGTCTATTTTGACTATCATCTGAAAGGGACAACTAGAGTTCTTCACTCTGGCAGATGGACTCAAGTGTAATTTCTGCTGTGGATCTTTACTTGGGCTCCAGTTGCGAGTGTTGTGTTGCTACATATAGCCACTCGTTGGTGTCTTCTCTGTCTTTAACTTGACCGAGAAACTGTTTATTACTTTGTATTTGGAGATCTATTGCCCCAGGTTCTCATTTGTCATATCTTTGGTCAGAAAGAGCACTTTGAACTTTTCTCCATTCCCCGAAATTGCCTTGAGATAAAATCAGTATGGTTTGTGGGAAAGCTAGTCATATGAAATCTTATGGAGCGCTTCATTGTCACACTCTGATTGCCGCGAATGTCGTCAGAGAGTTGGAAATATCAGTTACCTTCCTGGCATTGACCTTTCCAAAACATTGACCATACTGAGAAGTGGCATCAACCATTCCCAATGAAACCCATTCTGAGGAATGGCATCAACCATTTAGGAGAGGGAAATTTGCAGTGGAGCTCCACCCTGGCATCCAGATTTCCAACAAAGAAGTCACTGTCAAACCAAAATTTGCCATGTATGTTAAAAACAAGGTTTCCTTTACTTTATACAAGTATAAGCCTTCAGGGCGTGAAATTAATTTTTTTTTCTGATAGCCACTTGGCTCCTAAATTCTTCAAAGTGGTAGCCAACTGAAAAAAAGTTGGTCGCCATTTTCAAAGACAAACAAAACCTTCTTTTAAGCCGTCAGCATTCTAGATAGACCCTCCAAAATTAAGTTTGGGAAAAGATCTTTAACGTGCTACAAAGTGGACACTAGGATGGACGATATACAACGTTAAAGCTCACTTAATTCCAAGATGGCGTCTAATTATCGATTGAGATGCATCTGTTGCGTTTTGAAAACAAACTTAACGAGGTAGTTTGCGACGGATTTATCTTTGTAAATCTTTTTAATTCACTATATCTCTTGGTAAGGTTATGATGAAACATTCTAGTCGCCAATTTGGCGACTAATTTCCAGGATTTGGTCGCCAAAGTGAAAAAGTTAGTCGCATTGGCGCCTGTATTAGGCGCAATTTCACGCCCTGGCCTTGATACCAAAACATTAACGATGGCCTTGAATAGTAATTTTGAAAGCCGAGTGTCAATTAGTTGTCTTTGCACTTGCCTTTGGCAGTTTTGCTTTTTGTTGTGTCTTCCTCCTCAACACTCCCCTGAGCAATCCAGATTAAAAAAAAAAAAGGACATGTCTGTGATGGATTACTTTTCCCAGGAAATCTTGATCCATTGTCATGGGTGCCAAGAGATCCCATTATCCTATTGGTTTGCAGTCTCTAGGCAAGATAATCTCCTGGCGTGGCACAAGTTGTTTGCAAACCTTCATGAGCTAAACTCTCTCATTTAATTTTGGAGGACTACAACCCCTTTGAGTAAATTTATAGGGTATAAAGATTTAACCGATTTTGCCAAAACATTCTAGAAATAATCACACAAAAATGTGTCAGGAAATTTTGATATTTGAAATATTTGTTCCATGGCATCATTTACACAACAAGCCTCACATATTTTTAGCTACTCCAACTTTAGATACTGATATCTAGACAACCAATCAGAATATGGAAAAAGCCTGACATAATTTTACTGATTGATGCCTTCTGAATAAGACTGATACCCAATAAATTAAATCAAAGAACCTTCAGTTGTTTCTCACCTTACCAGCTCCTGACACTTCCTTATAAGAAAAGTATATGCTAGAGTAGTATATCCTAACTATTTAGGTAATAGCCGTGGGTATAAGTGAAATACCTGTCTGTTGCTAGCAATTTGATCACTTAATAACATTTGTTTCCAAGAATTCAAGGCACCTTTTAAGCCCTTCCTTCCCCATTGCATTGGAGTTGGCAACCTCCTATACCTGCACAAGAGAGGAATCAACAAGTATTTCTATCGTTACTTCCATTCTTTGCATTGTGACCAGGGCTTTCAGATCGACTGTCACTAGCAAGCACCAGAGGCTGTCATTTCAATGATTGACGTACTTCCCTCTGCTGAGCAAGGTAATGATTGTTGATCACTGGCCAAAGATACTTCCTCTGAATGTAATAACGAATCTGATGTTGCATGCGCTCACAGCTTCACCAACTCTCTTAAAGTGATGCCCAGTGAAAAGGATTCCACCACTGCAGAGGTTTCCTGCTGCCACCCCTTGTGTAAAAGGTGATAAAACTCCAGCACTTCATGAACAAGATTTTCCTCCATCTCTGCCTCTTCATCCTTGTCCACAGCCATTTCATCCAACATTGCCTTCTCCATAATGTTTTCAACGATCTATGATAAATCATTTGTTACTTAAGACTAAAAATGTAAGACAAAAAGAATTAACAATCAATCATGCCCCTCCATGTTAACTTCCCAAAGGAAAGAGGTATTACAAGTTGACATGGTGTATTTTATTTCCTTCAAGGTAGGATATTGTAACAAGACTTAAAACAACCGTTCATACATGGACAGGAAATGGAAATAACTGAGCAGCATCTTTCACCCTAACAATTTTTATACTCCATAAATTTTGCATAAGAAAAAGGAATAATTTTCTCCATAACCTATTTAGGAACTTCAGGGAAAATATGTGAGATTAGAAATAAATTTATCCTTTTAGGGTTTTTTCTTTATGTAGTTCTGAAGATATCAAGTGTTTTTTCTCAGTAGAGTATTTGATGTCTCATTACTATTAAATGTAAACATTATACAAAAAGACCCCTAAAGGCAATTCCATGTGATGCATTGGCTACCAAGTACAGCACTGGAAGGAATTTTGCAGTTACAGTAAACTACCACAATCAGTCAGTTGGATCAGCCCAAGAAACCACTATAGAAAATTTTGGTGTGGAAGAAACCATGACTGTCTATGTAGCTGGAAATAGTGAGTGATAGCTCAAAAACCTTGGATTTTTTTCTGAAACAAATTGGAACTCAACCTACTGATCTCCTCTTGTTTCTCATCACTTGTTTCATTTTAAAGAGCAACAGCTTGGTTAAAACAATTTCCATTTACTACGACTCTCTCCTTTGAAGATGTATATTTTCAGAAACAAAAATTTGTTCATCAAAAATGTTAACAAGGACAAAAACGTGCAGTAAGTACTTAAAAACAACTAATAAGACTGCACTAAGTTACTTCCTTGCAATTTGTGGCTAATTTTGTGATATTTCTAGACTGCTACATGGAATAAATTTCACATCAAACCTCATGCAAGGTGAGAGGTTAATCAGCAAATTTTAATACCTATCTTATGATCAATCAGACAAAAATGTACGCTTCCCTCTTACCAACATTACCTTATTTTAATTGTGATAAAATGGTAGCGAAAAAGCATCCAAAAAAAAAATCCAAGATTAAGAGTAATAGACGAGAGCAAAGTGTTCAAACTCAAAATGAGCTCAGTTAGGTGACTTGTACATTAACTGTATCCAAGATGGCAGTATTATTGCCATATATTAGGCAAAGATTTCACATGATTGGCAAGCGTTTTAGAATCTGAAACTTCAGTGAGAAGACTACCTTTGTATTAGCTGTTTCTTAGTGAAAAGAAAAGGGGCCTACATCTCCTTTAAAGTGATAAAAAAGGCATCCTGTCAGTAGTCTCCCTAAGACTTTATTATACCAAATATACATGTCTTCACCCCAGCAAGCAACAAGGTTAAAGAAATACACAAGTTAGACAACACTAGAACACATTTCTAAATATCAATGCAATTCACATCAGGCCATGAACATCTAAATATAGAGAGATTCATTAATTATTGTTCAAGTGACTGCTTACATCGCATCTGCTGCATTACAAATTTGAAAGTTGAAATCAGCCATAATTGCCATGATTGATGAACCCATCGTTAATTTCTGCCATAAACAATCCAGAAATGGATCAAGGGACAAGGGATGCTTCTTAGGCATTTCACTGGCAGTGTCCACTACTTATCAGATTTCCATAAGTAGGAGAGTTTTGCAAAATGAATACCATCCCAAAATCCCTTCTCTACCGTTCCCACCCCACTTACCTTTTAGGAGGCAACAGGTGTTTGCTTTCTTGCCAGTGTGCTGTCATTTTCCTGTACATCTCTACAAAAGAAAACCATTTTATCTTTGACACCAAGGTAATGGTATGGCCAATTTTGTAGTTTTCACAATGGAGAGTCCCCCCCCCCCTTCAAATGGTCTTCAAACATGTCGATTTAAAATCACACAGTACCTTTAATTTCAATCAATCTTAATACAGCATCCTGACAAAATGGACCATGTTTCTTGTTTCTTCTTCAGCTGTGTTAGGAATCACATCCAGATTGCTCTCTGACCCCTCACTTGTACCTGAAGAAATTTAAATTGTTTTCAACATTATCATCACTCAAACTGCAACCATCAATGTCCATGAACTAAGATTTGTCCATTTCATCCTCATTGGTTCCACCAGTAGCCGTTAGCAAGATGGAGAGCGAGTAATTTATTCAGCACGATAGTTTAAAACACTGCTAGAATTGCTAGTCTTCAGTTGGAGTGAGGTAACAGAGGCTACATTGTCTACATCTGCACTATCCTGATCAGAATATCTTGCTTGTTTAGGCATGTGACACAATGCAACCATTGGGTAAACTACTCAATCTTTACACTTCTCACAAAGCATAACAGAATGACAGTAATCAGTTCTGATTTGTGATCATTTTGTTCAATCACTTGATTGCAATTTATCTACATATCTTCAATCTAAGACTATTTCCACAAGAACTACAGTTGTAGATCATTCTCTTGTCTCAAAACATCACTAAGAAGAAGAAGGAACACAAGTCTTCTAAGTGCTACTAATCAGTTTCCGTGGGACTGATTGTCTACACTTTTATTGGTCTGTTGCAGATTTGTTGATAATTTCAAAGCCAAGGAAAACTGATGTCACTTCAGCACACAAAGTGTAAATCTTTTTTTAATAAAGTATTGTAAGCCTGAACTTTTATGTAACTGCACTCTATTTTTAGAGTATCAGAAAAGCTAAAGAATGGCTTGATTCTGGGTTGTGTTCTGTTTAGAATGAACATGTAAATTAATTGTTACATTGGTTTTATCATTTCAATTAGCTACATCATTGTATCAATAAAGTACTCTGAGTATCCTTGACTGCACTAAGGAAAAAGTCAAGAACTACACCATGCAATTATGGAAGCGATTTAGTTTTCAACTAACCATTTTTTTTGTGTTTAAATAAAGCCACAGGAACAAATATGTTGCGTGTATTTTGGTAGCTTATTTCCTTAACATTTTGTGTATATGTACATTTTAACATGTTTCATTTCACTGAACTTTTTATCATTGATTAATATAATAACTTGAATGCAAAATACCTTGTGGTTTGGTAGTGACATCAGTTTCTTCTGGCTGACATTCTTCAGCCGCTGAGGGGCTGTCATCACTGAGATGTAACTTGTTGTAAACTAGTTCCCCACTCTCTCTTCTCAGCTGGTATAGAGGCAGTTCCTCAGGTTCCTCATAACACTGTTTCTAAGCAGTCTCCAAGCTTGTTTGAATGGCTTTGACTGAACTTGACCTGAAATGAAAGACACGAGGGTTCTCTGGGTGATGTGTGGCTTCATTGGGACCATCATGGAACTCTACTGAACCATCAACTTTCCAATGCCATCAAACCACTTGTTCTGGAAGGAGGAAATCACTTATTACCTCTAGCTGAGCCTGCCATAATCTTGCCTTCTTTGTTAACAGGTCTTTGCTTACTGTTGTGTTAGCTCTATCAGGTAACCTCTTTATCAACTTTGTAATTTCCCATTTTTGAATGGACTGTATTTTCCTCTGCAGTGATATCTTCTTCCAGTATGTAAAGAAATGCATTTAGCACCAAATCTTCAGTATGTTTGCTCCACATCCTTCTTGTTATATCTACAATTCTGTCAAAAAATCTCTCAAATAACCCAGCATTAATAGACGGAAGACACACCAGCCTGTACATAACAGAAGCACGATGCAAAGCACTGTGATAATAGATACCATACAATTTACAAATGGTCATGGTCTTGGGTGGGGTTAGTATAGTCCTCATTGCCAGTGAATGTTTAAATGAAAAGTTTACAAGCTGCAAGATCTGCTTTAGACATCTGGGCCGGGTTGTTCAAAGCTAGGTTAAGATAACCCAGGGTTAGTGTGAAATCTAATTTCAGATCAGATTAAAATTTAACCTTGGGTTAGCACTAATCAACCTTCGAACAACTGAGCCCTGGTGTCTTCTTTGGCTTAAAATATTCCCATCATTTCAGAAGTTTTGTCAGTAAAGCCATGACACTGTTGTCTACTTTTCCAGCTAAAAGAATGGTGACCTGCATAAGTGCACAAAAATAGTCAGTGCAGCAGAACTTGCCTTTTTTGAGAGCAATGGAGAGTGTCTCCTTCAATGTCACAAGTGTGTCCACGTCTGTGATGTGATGTGATGTGGGAGTTGTAATACATGTGAGAAGTGGTTTCGGCAACAATGAAGTTGTTCAAAGACTAAGGCTTCACAATGAGTTTGGTTTAGGCCTTCTCCATACAACAATGCAGGAACTCTGGTTGTACCCCCAAGCAATTCTATTAGTTTCTCTTGCAGCTGTTGCTTTGTGCCACTTTCATCTTCATCTCTTGCTCAGAGTTCTCCTCTCAGCTGCTCAATTTTTAGGTTTTTAAAAGGGTAAAGGCCCCCTTTTTTCCCCTTTAGGACTAGTAAGAACAAGGTTTCATATTTCTTCTAGTGTCTTGTACTTTCAATGTGACATGAGTTACATATGTCTCCATCACTGCCAACAAAACTCCGATGGCCACCTCTTTGAGTCCATCTTCGAGCTTAGCGCTTGGATTATCTCTGTTCGTACACCTCATCATGTCCTTTATTTCAACATCTTGAATCTAAACTCGATTTGACAGATCTCTCAGAAATTCCGTTCTAGTTGGTACAAAAAGCACCTTGTCTGCATCTGAACTGCCAGACATTCCAATAATGTACCAAGGAGGCTATTCCATTTCTGCTTGTACATCAATTTTTTCGGTGGTTCCACTTTTGACCAGGTATTCTTCACTTGTCAAGTGAATGGCAGGATTGTACATTTCATGCACCAGGAATAGCAAGATCCCAGTACTTCCAATCCCAGCATGATCATGCCATAATAACCAATGCTGGGTTCTCTCTAACTTTTTTAATTGAGCACACAACTTATCAGGCTCCTCACTCATATTTGCCTTGTTAAGACAGAAAAGTCTTCCTTTAACTTCTTCTTGGCTTAGCTTGCTGTACTCATCATCTGACCCAATCCTCATAAATTTTTCATTTTTTTCAAGCATCTCTCTCTAATTTCAGACAATGGATACTTTGGTGCTGTCACCTTGCAAGGGTGCTTCTCAATTTCTCCATCTGGTGTAATGACAAGTTTGACATATTCAGTTTCCAGTGCTGCTATACCCAGGTTGAACTTTCCTGCAGCTATCCAGTATTTCTTGTCTGATTTAGCTGTTTGGTTAATGAACAGGCATGGAAATCTCCCCACCATTTTGCTTTTTTACCGCTTTTCAAATTCTGGGCCCTAGACAACACACATACAAACAAAAAATACACAAATAGTTTCCTTCATATCATGTTTTCACACAACCCACATATGCTTGTTTTGTTAATTTTCTAAATTTTCTATTTCGACCTTTTTGTTGTAGTGCAAAAGAATAAAATGTTATGTCAACAAAAATGAACACAGCTACCCATTCTTAACATAGATTTTGCCACGGAAAACAAAACACAAACGCAACAAACTAAACATTGGGTACCAGGAGTATTTGTTCTAATCTTCACCTACACACCGCACCTGAGAAACTGTCTTAGTGGTGCGCAGTTCTCCTTCATAGTGCTGAATTGTATTTGCAACTTCCAGTTCCTCTTTACTACTTAGGTACAATATATCAAAACTGTCCGTAGAGCTTGCTGAAGGTTGGTATACATCACTATCAGACATTAATTCAAGAGTATTTAGATGCTGACCAATAAAAAATTACAAGAGACATGAGAGATTTTAAGTGTCCACAGAGAATTTTCACAGTTTTCTGTGACATCACCTGCTAATCATTACTAGTCCACGGGACACTACTGAGACAAAGGAAGAGCATTTTAGGGTCCAAAAAAACAGTTTAAGTATTTTGAAATCTTTCTTATATCAGAATTGGTTTGACATAGGATAAGCTAAATATTTATGTCCAAAAAAATTTCATGTCGTAGGCACTTAATTGAAGTGTCTGTAAGAGTATAAAGCAACAGAGTGATCTTCAAGCACAATACTTAATTTGCTGGTATTGATGATAACTAAATACTAACTCTTTTGTTGATCAAGTGCATTGGTGTCGACTCCCTGAGACTTTATAACTAACTTAGTTATAACCTAGTTATAAATATTACTAACCTAGTGCATAAGTGTTGGGCCACTTCCCCCTTTCCTCCCATTTGATACTCTCTGGCCTTCTCAGACCAGTTCACAGTCTTCCAGTTGTTCATGTCCAGCATTAACGGCACTAGGTGCCCATCCACAGCAATGGGAACATGCAACCTCTTCTGTCCCTTTGGTGCATTTCTTACCCTTCTTTTAGCTTTATCAATGTTTTCAAAACATTCTACAATTCTTTACCTTTTCTTGGCTACTAAAGATGTTCATTGTGCCGGGTGAAGGCTGACATCTCTTTTTTTTTTCCATGAATTCTCTTCATTCTGCAGAGTGCAGAGTTTTATACCCAGGGCAGTCTTCTGCCAGCTTTCCATAGAATATGTATTCAGATACTGGTCCTTTTTTTTCTGGCAGAGACCTCTGAAAAAGACCTATTGATAAAAAGATTTTTTTTTCCTTGGACAATTGTTCTTTACTTTACTACCTGTAAGTAATTAGGGAACTTCAAAAGATTTATGGAAAAATACACTTACTTCTGCCCACATGTAAATGGGGATATTCCTCAAAATGTGCCATGTAGAGCCAATGTCTCGATGTCAATGGGACTCAAACTTTTAACTTGGCCACTAAAAATTCAAGTTCAATTCAAATTCAATTCAATGTCTCGATGTCAATGGGACTCAAACTTTTAACTTGGCCACTTAAAATTCAAGTTTAGTCGCCACTTTGGTGACTAAGTTCCTCTGATAAATAAAAGATTAAAGGTGAGAAACAATTGCCTAAGTCTCGTTTCTGCTTTTCTGCAAAAAGAAATGCAAATTAAGTCTAAGTTAAAACTTGAAATCTCTTTCAAATAGCAACTTCTGAGACATTACAGCAACATCTACATGGTGATCACAGGCGCAACATTTTGTTGAAAGGCTGCTGAATTCAAAAGCATTCTATCTTTCACCATGTTCTCAATCAAGTGAGATGAGTCTACACCAAAAGTCATGAGTTATTTATCAAAGGAGAATAATACATCAGCTGAAATAACCCTGAGTAACACTCTTGTTACTTTGCTCACTTGCTGCTTAAGGTAAGACTGTCATGCAGAAGTCTTTCGGAGTGTTTTTCTTTGTGTTTTCATATTTAAGTCATTCAAGATCGAGTATTCCGCTCTGTCCCTCAACCACAGCCACAATCTTCCAGAATCACTCCTAAGTTTGTATATTTCCAGATACCTTGAATTAAGGGATTTTTTTTTCTCAAAATGCATCCTGGAATGAGGAACAGGAAGTTCTAAAGATGAGGATTGATATTACTCAAAATTAGTGTAATTATCAGTTCTAAAAACAAGGAATAAGCACTGAAAATGAGTGACAAATACTACTTAAAATTGATGACAGAGTCCTTGCTTTAAGGTGACTGGAGTTTCTCATGGTAAGACCTATTTTTTTCAAAATGAGTAACTTAAGATCTCAAAAGAGAGCACTTACTCCTCAAAGATTGCTAAATGATACATCATCCCCATTTCCTAGAGGCAAGTATCTAAACTCTTGGAAGTGGTTCTTTCTATCAATATTTTATGTATGTAACACAAGTTAACTAGGCCATACAACAAACTCGACAACAACTTTAAATCTGACATAATAAACCCAAATTGTGCTTTCTTTAAGATGTTTCACATTTTTTTGAACTTAAGATACATGCACAGCAGCAAGTTTTAATTTGAAGCAACACTTAAGGTACACCACATTTCATTTAATGTATACCAAATGTGTAGCAAAGTGACGTGGCTTAATACCTAACACCTATTCTTCAAGAAATGGCACAGCTACATGTTAACTTCAAGCACTGAAATCTTAACTATTCAATGATAAAAATCTTCCTACAGATTTGTAAATACTAAAATAAACAGTATATAGCAGCTTCATGATCAACACAAATTCCTCAAGGAATAGGTATAGTAGCCTTTCCTTTGAATCATACTGAAGATTACTCTTTTTCTTTGTCAAAAATCTTGTAAGAGAAGGACTAAATGGTATTTCTTACATAGAGTACGTAACCACAAGGTTTTTCGAGGTGTGTTTTTTCAGTTGTCGAATGCTAGTGACAGTCAACTGTCAGCTGAGAGATATTTTCTAACAATCTTGTTACAGATTTGCCTGTACTTAAATGTTCATCATATAGGCTTTACACCCAGGACATATTCTTCAAGATATTGATACAGCAACTTTTCTTTTACATCATATTGAAAATGAAAACGATGCTTGTCATTTAATGGGCCACTCATTCACCACAAGTTATCTATCTGCATCCTGTCCAACTGCTAAAAGATCCATTTATTTAAGCCCATGGGTGGTAAGTAGACACAATTTGCAGCCATGGCAAGCAGGTAGTAATGTTCTTAATCTCCCTCTTTCAAGAGTGCACCAAATGCCATACAACAACAACTGAACTTCATCAAAGCTCCTTCTTTGGCCAAAAAAAAACTACCTCCCCCCAGATCTTATTGTCATTAAATGGGTTACAGTTACATATGCAGAACATTCAAATATAAGGACTTACATAAGGAGCAAAATCCCCACGAGATTTTAGTCCAACAGGTTCTTGATCTTTGGGCTGTGGTATTTTCTAGCAAACCCTCTTGGCCACTGTCACAAATTCCTGGCTGCTGATCTTTTCACCTTAGTGTACTTGTGCCCTCATACAGGTGTATACTTCTTGAATTAGTTGCTTCCTAGCACTGTCTGGGATTTATTTCTTATTTTTAATGCCAGATGGACATGGGAAGGTGAAATTGTCCCACTTTTCACTGCTGTACTTCGTACTCTTAAAAAAATAGAAGGCCTTGGAGTCTCAGCACAGAGTTTCAAAGCCAAAGCTAATGTCACTATCAAATTGGTATTCTGAGTCCAGTGATAATGTGGAGGATGAAAGAGATCTCTCCCTTTTCAAGGGAGGGATTACCACTGATGGCAATGAGCTTTTTCAAGGCTGGACCTAGGTGTGCAAAACAAACAATAATAACTGCTAATCTTTTACTGCATTTAGAAGGTAGACTGTTCAAGCTGTGGGATGCTAATTTAGAATTCTTTTTGGCACTTAATAAATATGTCGCAGCTCAAGTAGGTATGATTCCATAAAAAGAGAGAACTAATGCGGCAGTATAATACAAAACATGCACATCAGAAGATAACACCATGGGGAGTTCTCAGTTAGTTTTACAGGGTTACTTTACTAATCACAGTAAAATAACAAACACTGCTGTGACTTATTACCTGCTGGGAGAATTCAAAACTCTCTTCTAATTCATCGCTATTAAGTACATCTTTCTTGTCCACAACTTCAACACTGCAGTGACTTATTACCTGCTGGGAGAATTCAAAACTCTCTTCTAATTCATCGCTATTAAGTACATCTTTCTTGTCCACAACTTCAACAGGAGAGCACTTCTAAAATTTCCAAACAGGACAGGATCATTATCCAGAAGAAATGCTCTGTATAGTGCAGGATCTCCTTGTGTGAACAAAACGCAAAACTACAATCCTCTTTCGTTAAAGTAACGGCAAATTGATCAATAAGATAATGAACTTGAGTTTCAACAATTAGTAGTATAAATTTAACAAAAAATTGTGTGTAATGCAATCCTTATTACACTTACCAAATTTGTGATGACGTCCCAAAATTCTTTCCTCGCCAAGAAATCGTTCGGTAAAAGGTCACTGAGATCACCAAGGTTTAACGTGATTAGAGTCTTCCCTTAATATTGTTTGCTAAACAAATTCAGAAAGCAAAACATTTCTTTCAATAAATTGCCTTCACAGCTCGAGAGAACGGCAAGAACTTTCTGCCCACAACTTTAGGACAAAGTCCAAACATTACATGGCTGGTATTTTAAGCAATCGTTCAATGTGTGATATAAATAAAATATTTTAAGTAATACTTTGATGTCAATAAGATTACTGTTGCTGCATGCTGGCGTTCCTGCGGGCGTGCTTTCCCACGGTCACATGGAGTTGAAATTTGCGAAGATTTATAAGCGCTGTTTTTGGAGTGTACTTCGTTTATCGAGTCTTTCT